CAGTTTTTGTTGGGACGCAGTTTTTTGGGGGGGCGGAGCAGGTTCGAGTTCCCAATGCAGGCAATTTTTGGAAGCATTTAGAAGCAGTTTTTTTGGGGGGAGAGCAGGTCCGACTTCCCAATACACGCAGTTCATCTCAAGCGCTGGCGTCAGCACGTCCATGTTGAAACGGGGACACGTTGACCTTGTATTGTTTTCAGGAAAGATGATCCCCCCAGATGGAATCCCTTCGGCTGCTGGCTGGGTGGCAAAGTCGGAATATGTACTAATGACGAGTAGTGATGAGGAGGTTGAGGAGGAGAAGGAAGACGAGCAGGAAGAGGATGGGGAAGATCAGAAGGCGCGACGAGGAACGAGGAACGAGGAGGAGGAGACGGAGGAGGAGGGGGAGGAGGAAGAGGACGGGGAACGATGAGAAACTTGACTTCCTCCCCATGCGCCCCCCGTTTTGGGGGGGGAGGGTGAGGGGCAGGGGGCGGAGATGGGGGAGGCGGGGTGGACGGGGGAGGTGGAGCGGGAAGACGGGGCGAAGAGGGAGGCCCGAGTCAGAATCACAAGGCCCATCCCCATCCCCAGTGGGCCAGGGATTCGTGGCGCCCTTCGGCCAACCGCCTCTATGCGTAGGTCGAGCGTGTCCTCCTACAGTCGGTAGTTGGACGACATTTTAAGATATGTAAAACATAAAAATCAGACATAGGCACAAATAGTCAAACAATCGTGCCAGGACTATTGTTTGACTATTTTTGGATATTCCTCCTGTAGAGGGACACGCCCGACTTAACTCCAGGCTGGGGTAGTGATGCACGCCGCGGAGCCCGACGGAAGCGGCATGCCCACATCCCCCAGCTGAGGCGGCAGGTCGGCCAGCGGGGACGAGGTTTGTTAACCGACGGGGATGGGGATGGGCCCATCGATGCCGACTGTGGGTGCAGGAGGCAGGAGGATGCTGGGCGTGCCCGAGGGGGGGGGGGGCATGCAGAGGGGGTCAGCGCAGCATGGCAGAGGCCTGTGCGCGGACGAGGGGGAGCCCAAGGGAGGCGTGTTCAAAGACTCGTGGCAATCAGGAAAGGGACGATCCGCAAACCGCGGTCTGCTACCAGAAATGACTATACTACGAATACGAACGACAGTGCGCGTGCTGAGGATACTACATAATACATAAGAAGCGTACAGTAGGGGCTCGACCACAAGCAACCATTGCTAAGCCATCGACGCCCAAGGCACCCAATGCACCCTGGAGGCAAGCAGGGTGTCTCTTGGCATGGGTCTCGGCTGTAAAAGTGCTAGCCTGAAAAACACGAGTGATGTCAAGTCGTACACGCCTAACTAATTCGTCTTAGATCTGGCATGTCCCCCTACAGGCAGATTTTGGACGGAAAGTGAAACATACTCGAAACATAACAAAAACAGAAGTACTCAAAAAATAGTCCCTGGTCTATTTTTTGACTACCTTTCAATCTACCCCCTGTGCCCGTCGTTCATTTCTAATCGTGCTCACTTCCAATTGCGCTCGTTTCTAATTGTTTCTGGTCCCCTAGTGGCCAGGAGGAGGCCCAGGACAGAGCATTTAGAAAGGAAAGGATCCTGGCACCCCAAAACTCAAACAACTTTCGAAGAATTAGGCTGGAACAGTGTGCAGCGGGACAGGCCCCGATCAAAATCAGCCCTGGGCCCCCTTTTCTGTGCCTGGTGGTCTTCGGGCCATGGCTCTGGCCTCTGGCCGCCGCTCGGGCCAAGTGAAGGGGCCCAGGGACACACAAACAAATGCACACACACATATATCCCAGGATTTTCCCATATCTTCTGGGTTTTCATCTTCCCCCCCTACTTCCCATAGGTTCCCCATATTTTCCGGGGAGTCGACGATTAATTGTGTCTGTGTGTTTCTTTCCCTCCTGAACAAGTCTGGCACCCCTGCAGCGCTCTCTCCACGGCGCAGCTGCTTGAAAGCACCCCGAGGCTCATGTTGCCCCCATCGTACTGAAGGACCACATCCCAGAAATACCTTCGAGCACCCAGAAAAAGTATCCAAGCAATGTCGAACGAGTATCTCCTCCCACGGCCCAACACGTGAAAACCCTGGTGCTCTCTTGGTGCTCGAAAGTCTTTCTGGCCATCGAGGCTAAAGTAGGCTGGAGCATGATGGCCCGAGGCGAGACAACCACCAAGAACCACCGCCTCCTGGACGCCCCCGACGGGAGGGGGCGACTGGGGGGGCGGGCTGGGCGGGGGTCGGCCGAGTCCCCAAGCGCCCCTGCGGCCCCGCCCCGGCTCCAGCCTGCAGGCCGTACAGCACGTACTCGAGCGACTGCGGCGCGTCGAAGACCGCCTGCCGCGCGGGCGCCCGGCCGAAGGCGGCGCCGAAGGCGCCCAGCGTGGCGTTGAAGTCCGCCGCCACGTCCGGGCTGGCAGAGGACCGCGCCCACGCGTTCTGCAGCAGCAAACCCTCCCCCCTCAGCAGCGCCCGGGAGGCCCGGTAGAACTCCTCCGACCGGCACCCGAGCGGCACCCGGTCGTGCCCCGCGAAGCAGTCGACCAGGACGGCGTCGAACTGGCCCCTGTCGGCCGCGGAGACGGCGGCCAGGCCGTCGGCAACCTCGACCGTGTTGGCGTCGCTCGTGGCGAGCCCGAAGAACTTCGATGCCAGGCTCGCTACCCGCGCGTCCTTCTCGACGTTCTCCAGCGCCAGGCGCCCAGGCGGACAGCGGTCGAGCAGGTAGCTGGAGATGGCGCCGCCGCCGAGCCCCACGAGAAGCACGCGCACCGGGCTGCTGGAGGATGAGCACATCTCGACGATGGGGTCGGCGAGCGCCTGCATGCCAGGATAGGGCAGCGGCTGCCCATGCAGCTCGCATGGGCACGGCTCCACCTCGCTGCAGGGCGGCACGGGCTGCCCGGGCGCCGCGACGGCGCAACCAGCAGGTGTCGGGCCCACACACCTCACCGCGGTCTCGGTGCCAGCGCTGTCACCGAAGCTGAGGCCGCGAAAATTTGTCTCCAGGTCCACTCGCACCACGATCGCCTCGTCCCCTGGCACCGCCGCCGCCTCCCTGCACAACGGCTGACCGCGGTGGCCCCTGGTCGCTACTCGCTCAGCACGTGAAGACGCGATACTCAGCAGCGACGCGCTCTCCGGAACGGCCGGCTGGAGAAACTTGTCGACGATCGCTGGCCGGTCCTCGGGCACCACGTCTGCAGCTACGACCAATGACTCCATGCCGCGCTCACGCGCTATGTCGCGGCGGATTCGGAAAGCTCCGTGCTCCCCCCACTCCGCGCCCCAAGTATTCTGCAGAATCCAGTAGGGCACCTCCTGGCCGTCGCTACCGTCCAAGCCGTACCCGACAAGGAGGGCCGAGTGGGTCGGGGCCACGAAGCCGTCGTCCTCCTCGCCCTCCAGGGGCGGCGGCTCCCAGACGCCGCCTGTGTAGTCCTGCAGCTCCTTGTCGCTGCGGAATGAAACGGCAACTGGCCCCGCCCGGTTAAGCTCCTCGATGATGGCGTCCTCACCACCGGTGACGTACCGATGGCCTGACGCCCTGTAGCGTGTCCCGGCGTTCAGCTGCCCCGCGCTGCACTGGACGCTACAGGAGCCCTCAGGCGCGTAGGGGGCGCAGCTGGCGGGCACCAGGCCCACGTCCTGCGACCACTTGGCCGCCAGGAACGGGTAGCCGCCCCGGCACCCCTCGGTGTACTCGCCGCAATACAAAGGGAATGCCACGGAGAAGCCCTCCAACGACGGGTCGCCAGACGCGATGCGGTGGCGGGCGGACAACATTTGCAATGCGGCGGAGGCGTAGCAGCTGCCGCATCTGCCCTGCACCATGGGCTCGTCCACCCATCGGCTGCCGGAGGCGTTGCGCCAGTCCAGGCCGCGCCTGCCGCCGTCCGCACTCGCCGGGCTGGGGCGACTGGGAACTTCTACGGCTGACAGGGCAGGGAAGCCGACCCCCGAGACACTGGGCGTGGCCGCGACGTGCACCGCCTGGCGGGAACGCCGTCCGCGGAGCGTTTCCGCGCCGGCGCGCTGCTGCAGGAAGGAGCCAGCGCTGCGGCGCCCGTACCAGCAGCCCCACAGTTCGCGGCTGTCCTCAGAAGGACAATTACCCTACGACTTGCCCAACCCGTTTGCATCGAGTGGCCCGAGCAACTGGTTCAAATTCGCAGGAATCGCCATTTGTTGTGCAAAATACTCTGGATGCGCCCGTGCCGAACGACTCGTAAGACATCAATAAAATGACGAGGGCTGAGCAAGAGAAGGACGGATGGGGAGGACGGCAAGTCAGTGCGGCAGCATCAGGAGGGCAGTGGAAAGAGGGGAAGGGGACGACGACAATAGAAGCGGGATGGGAAAGGGGGGGGGGGGGAATTTTCCAACTATGAGCTGGACAAGATGCGCGACCTGCGCCATGTCGCTCCGGCGCTCCACAGGCACAGCTGCTCACACCTAGTGCATGAAGCGAACGGGGCACAGCTCGCCCGCCAGCTTATCCGCATCCTTTCTACACCTCTCGGTGCTGGCTGAACGCCCGCACGCGCGCCGCCAGGTCTGCGGGCGGCTCGCGGGAAAGGACATCAACGCCAGGGTTGCGTATCATCAGCGGATTGTCCACCTTCGCCGCCCTGGAAGCAATCACGTGGAGATGCAGCCAGAGGCCGTCCGAGTTCTCCGCTTCCCTTGCGCCTGGCGTCGACAATGACTCCGTGGTGCATGGTCTGGCCCTTGCAGACCGTGAGCGTCAAAATTCGGCGTGGACGATGACCAGGCTGGTGCGCGTGACCTCATGCTTGCGGAAGTCGAACGGGCTCGAAGTCTGAGGCTCGATGAAGACGGGCCCCGCCGCGTCCGAAGCGTCGATGCTGCGATCGAGCTCGGCGAGCATCTTGCCGCAGGGGGCAATTTTGTACTTGTCCACGCGCACCCACACGCCTTGCGGCAGGTACTGCAGGGATGGCGAGTTCGAATCTGCACGCGCGTCAGACGTCACTCTGCTGGCCCCACCCCCCCTATCAGCTCACAAAACTGGCGGCAATCTCGCAGCTTACAGCCCTTCAAAGATGGCGAGGTCTTACCTGAAACCGTAAGACGCCACTCAGCTGGACCCCCTAGCAGCCTTCAAAACTGGAGACAGTTTCGCAATTCCCAGCCCCCACCCTTGTCGGCATGGCGAAGTCTAGTCTTGGACCGCGTACGACGTCGCCCCGCTGACCCCCCAGCAGCCCTCGAACGTGGCGTCAGTTTCGCATATCGCACCCCCCCCCGAGTACGGCGAAGTCTAATCTGAGTCTGCGTAGGGCGTCACTCAGCTGGACCCCCCAGCAGCCGTCGAAATTGGCGACGGTTTCGCAGATCGCAGCCCCCACTTCGGGATGGCGAGGTCGAATCGGAGACTGCGTAGGACGTCAGTCAGCTGGACCACCTAGCATCCCTCGAAAATGGCGGCAATTTCGCAGCTCGCAGCTTCCCCGAGGGATGGACAGGAGCCTGCGCAGTATTTCACTCAGCTGGACCCCCCCAGCAACCCTCGAAAACTGGCGGCAGTTCTTCTCAGTTCGCACCCCCCAGGGATCGCGAGCTCGAATCAGGGCTTGCGAAGGACGGCGCTCAGCTGGACGCCCCAGCAGCCATCGGAAGTAACGAGAGTTTCGCAGCTCGCAGCCCCCTAGGGACAGCGATATCTAATTGGAGGACGTCGCTCAGCTGGACCCCCCGGCAGCCCTCGAACGCGGCGTCAGTTTCGCAGCTCGCAGCCTCCCAGCGACCCCCCAGGCAGGGCGGCGAGGCAGGAGGTAAAACGCAGGAGGGGCATTATGATTATCATCATTATTATTAGTACTATTATTACGGTTACCATCATTATTATTATTCTTATTATTACTACTAGTATTATCATTATTATCATTACTATTATTACTAGTATCATTACTACTACATAATCATTTTCATTATTATTATTATTACTGTTATTATTATTAATACTATTATTATTATTGTTATTATTATTATAATTATTATTATCCTGAAGATGATGGTGATGATGATGATGATGATACTGATGATTATGCTGCTGATGATGATGATGCTGATGATGATAATGATAATGATAATGATGATGATGATGATGATGATGATGATGATGATGATGATGATGATGATGATGATGACGATAACGACGACGATGATGTTGATGACGATGACGATGATGATGACGATGATGATGATGATGATGATGATGATGATGATGATGATGATGATGATGATGATGAGGATGAGGATGAGGATGAGGAGGAGGAGAAAGAAAGGAAGAGGAGGGAGGCGGGAAGAGGAGGAGGCCGCGACTGCAGCGCTCGATTCAAAACGAGAACCCGACGCAGGAGGGTTGGGACACCCAACGCGTAAACATACACTTTCGGAGGTCCGCGCGGATTTCTCGGATCGGCGCTGGAGCCCCATGGCAGCGCCTCCGGCACCGCCCCTGGCGCGTCCAGCGCGCCAGGAGGGGGGTCCACCGCCGATGCAAGAAATCCGTGCGAACCTCCGACAGTTCATGTTTGTGCCACAGCTGGCTCGTCGAGTCCTTGTTGTACCACCCGAGTACCGTCTCGCCGCAGCGGCTGTGCATCCTCTGCAGCGACAGGGGCAGGTGGTCCCCGCCGTTGTCCGCGGGCAGCTGCTCGAAGCCCAGGAACGCCAGGAACTCGTGGCCGCCGCCGCGCACCTCGAGCGCCTCGTCCGACACCATCGTCCAGGAGCCCGCCGCCCCGCCGACCCTGGCGAAGCCTCCGGGCAGCAGCTCCACGGCGAGCGCCGAGAAGAAGGGGCTCCGACCGCGCCCCCCGGCCACCAGCGGCTCCCTCATGGGGTCATCCGGGCGCTGGTGGCCGCAGCTGGTGCGCTCCTCGGGGGACGTCGACTCCGCCTCCTCCTCCTCCCCCGTCCCCTCCTCCTCCGTCCCCTCCTCCGTCCCCTCCTCCTCCTCCTCCTCCTCCTCCTCCTCCTCCTCCTCCTCCCCGGTCGTCCGTCGTGGGAGCGAGCGGCGACGGCGCGTGCGCGCGGCGCGCGCGCCGCCCCCCTCCGTTCATCAACTTCAAGGACGGCGGCCCTCCCACGCGCGCCGAGGGGTGCCGCGCTCCCCCCTGCCCTCTCCCTTCTGCCTCTGCCTGCTGCTGGCAAGACTTAGTCTTTGCCTCACTCGCTCACACTCCTTCTCCTCCTCCTCCCCCTCCTCCTCCTCCTCCTCCCCCTCCTCCTCCTCCTCCTCCTCCTCCTCCTTCTCCTCCTCCTCCTCCTCCTCCTGACCCCCCACCGATGCTGGCCGGGCCCGTCTGGGGCATAATCAACAAATCGTCCCCATATTTTTTTTTTGACTATTTTTGAATACTCTCCTCCTGTAGAGGGACATGCCCGACTGAAGGATACGCGCAGAAGTGATCCCAGGCAAAGGTGACCCTTGGTAATTACGCGGCCTCGGGGCGGCGCTTAGGGGGGAAGCGGCAAGCCCAAGCGATCAAGCTACAGTGGAAGACAGTCCACAAGACACCTTCCACAAGAAACCCGACCCTGAGACCCCAGGACGTCCGTTGATTTTTGGCGTGGGCACTCCATCGCAAAACTATCGAAACCTAGGAAACCCAGGACCCTGGAGGCAAGCCGGGTGTTTCTTGGCATGGGCCCCCACTGTATCGCATCGCATTCCACGAACGGGGGGCCCATCTGGGCTGTACCAAAAAAGGCTCCTCTGGCGAAGGGCCACGCTCCTTGCGCGTCATTCGCCGCAGCCTGGGCTCACGACGGGCCCCGCGGAGGAGGAGGAGAAGGAGGACGCAGTCTGGAGTAACAGGAGGAGGAGGAGGAGGAGGAGGAGGAGGAGGAGGAGGAGGAGGAGGAGGTGGAGGAGGAGAAGGATTTTGAGGAGGAGGTGGAGGAAGAGGGAGGAGGAGGAGGAGGCGGAGGCGGAGGCGGAGGAGGAGGAGGAGGAGGAGGAGGAGGAGGAGGAGGAGGAGGAGGCCCGCGCCGCTCCGGGCCCGCGGGGCCCACGGCGAACTCCCAGGTGCCCGCCACGTCGCCCACGAGGCAATGCACGGGCAGGTCGGCGCCCGCGCGGGCCGCCAGCAGCAGCAGCAGCAGCGCGCCGCGCGGGTGCCCCGCCCGCGCGCGCGTGTCGTGCGCGGCTGGGCGCCGCGGCGCTGGCATTGGTGGCGGGGGCCCCCGCGGCAGGGCTGTCACGGAGAGGGCGCCATGGGATGGGGCGGCGCGCCCCTGCTTTGGCGCCTGGGCCGGCGCGGGCCATGGCCAGGGAGGCTCCTTCTGGGCGCCCCCCCTGCTGCTGCTGCCTCGCCCCTCGCTCGGCCGTTGTCCTCCATCTCCTCCTCCCCAGCTCTCCCTCCCTCCCTCCTCACATCTCTCTCCTCCTCCTCTTCCTCGCTTACCCCCCTTCCTCCTCCTCCTCCTCTCCCTCCTCCTCCTCCTCTCCTCCTCCTCGTCCTCGCCCTCGCCTTCCTCCTCCTCCTCCTCCTCCTCCTCGCGTTCCTCCTCCTCCTCTTCGCTTTCCTCCTCCTCCTCCTCCTCCTCCTCCTCCTCTTCCCTCTCGCTCGACCTCCCCTTGGCCTGCCCCGTGGGACTTTCGGGCGATCAACGGATCCGTCCGCGGCCGCCCCTCTCTGCCTTCCCCTCTTCGCCCTCCCCCACAAAGACGAAGATGATGATGATGATGAGGAGGAGGAGGAGAAGGAGGAGGTGGAGGAGGAGGAGAGGAGGGAGGGAGAGAGGGAGGAGGAGGGGAGGGAGGGAGGAGGGGAGGAGGGGAGGGGAGGGGAGGGGAGGGGAGGGGAGGGGAGAGGGAGGGGAGGGGAGGGAGGGGAGGGGAGGGGAGGGGAGGGAGGGAGGGAGGGAGGGAGGGAGGGAGGGAGGGATGATGATGATGATGATGATGATGATGATGATGATGATGACGAGGAGGAGGAGGAGGAGGGAGAGGAGGGAAGACGAACGTAGCTCAAGAGCGAGGTGCCCAACGGACCGAGGAGCCGGAGAAAGCGGCGAGCAGATGAACACAGACGAAGAGATCGCAGTGCCGCCAATACTGCCGAGCGGAAAATCGTTAGGCAAGAGGTGGCTCTGCAGCAAACGAAGCGTGTGATAGGCTTGGAGTGCGATGGCGACCACTTCGACGACGTTGGCCGTCGGCGTACAGTATTCGGCTTGACCTAAGGAACGACAAATGAGGAACGAACCCCCTTTTTTCCCAAGTGAGTCTAGGAACTCCGAAGGAACACCAGGGGGGCTCGCCGCAAAAAAGGCAGCGGATCGCATGCAAACCAAAGGAACGACCGAGCCCCTTTTGAAAAGGAAGTGTTTCTTATTCAAGCCGGACCCTGTTGGGACACTCCAGCGCGCAAGAGGACACCGATGGGAGAGGTCACGACCAAGGACAGAAGAGAGAAAGACCAGCAAAACGGTGCACAAGTAGTACGATGGCACTTACGATCGGGACAAGTCATACAGACAAGCATGCAAGCCATACGTGGCATCACTCTCGATGGCGGCAAGCAGGAGACGGATGAAGGAGAATAGGGCCGGTGGGACCCGCATACTACTCAGTGCGATGAGCCTGAACATGTAATATAGGCTAGGGAACGCCAACATAACTAATAATGTCCGAATCGTCGACGCCTCAGGGTGTGATGAGTACTGACGCGCCGAGCACTTCTTACTCCACGATGTTGTTCAAAGCATTGCAAGCCCGAACGAAACAAACAAAAACACGTCGTGATGCAGGAGCCACCTGCTCGACAACGTTGGCGATCGAAACGTCGCATGCCACCGTCATCAACTTTGCAGTGGTATTTCGGCTACCTTGAAGGCCCGACATATCTGACTGCTCGCATGCACGCTCAATACCGCCCGTCCTCTGGATCGGAACCTCTGGGCAGACCCGCCTGTATCGTGGCGTGCTCCGAGCCGAAGAGGGAAGCACGTTGTAGCCGCCAGAGTAAAACGTCGGCCAGTACAATGAGTATGCTAGGGTGCACAGCACGCCTATAAGCGGTATGCATGGTGGGAAGTGATGGGGCGTGGTGCAGGAGAAATCCGCGACCAGCATAACACAAACTGAGTATAGAGAGGGGTCGGAGGATAAATGATGCAGGGGTGATGATGACGACGATCGAATATGTACAGCATGCTGTGTTATTACGTGTGCCCTCTCATACCTCCGAAGCAAGTTCCCCTATACCCCCCCAGACAGCAAGCCTCTTGCTCGTGTCTGTCACCTTGCCTCCCAACTGTTCCCTTTCCCGCGCTCTCCCTCCCTTTTTTCCCCCGCGACCCTTGCACATCCCCCATGATCTCCACATTCCCCTTCCCCCATCCATTATCCGCATCCTCGCATGCTTCCTTGTTTCGCTGTCTCATGTCCCCCGCTTTCCGCCATGTCACTCCCGATCTGATCTATATGTCACACTCCCCCTGACTATCCCCCAGCATCTGCACCTCCGCTTCCATATTCCCTTTTCACATTCTCTCTTCGCGCTCCCCGCCCCCTGTTTCTTCCTCACCCGTTTTCCCCGTTCACTCCCCCGCTCCTTCCCTCTCCGCCTTCCTCTCACCCTCTCCTGTCCCTTTGGCCCTTCCCGCCCCGCATCTGCTTTTCCACCCTCTCCCTGCCCCCTTCCCTCTTCTCACTGCACCGACCTTGCAGACGTGCTGCAGCGGAATTTGGCGTGAATGTTTGCCACTGCAACACCTCGAAACAGCGAGCGACAACGAAGGGAATTTCACGTGGATTTACTTGACGTTCCTGACACTCCGCACGAAATCCACTTCGAAATCCGGAACGAAATTCGCCTGGACAATCCAGGCCCACTCCAGTGTTTTTCGAACGAAATCCGCTCTGCGATGTTGGCACCGTGACTGTTCACTCCCCCTCCCACCACTTTCCCCTTTTGCCCTCTGCCTACCTCTTCAGGAGGAGCGCATGGCAAGGGCCCCCCCGGGCCCTCCCAGCGGGCCCCCTCTAACGCCCGCGCGCTTGCCGCGCACGCAGGCCTCCCTCTGGCTGGGGCCAAGCCCCTCCTTCGGCGGCGAGCCCAGGGGGGAACAAGTGTAATACACAAAAAGAAGTGTGATACAACAAACGATGCTAGGACAGATGGTTTGTTTCATTTGCTGTTTCACCACACTTGCTTGTTTGATCACACGGTTTGTTTTATCACGCTTCTTCTAACAGAACAGGCCTTCACAGAAAGGCGGCGAGACTTCTCAGAAGCCGTCGCGCCTCCCGAGAAAATGTCCTGTGTCTTCGGAAGGCGGCTCCGAAGACCTCCCCGCGAAGGCCGGAGGCCTTCGGGGCCTCCCGAGAAGGCCCGCCCCTTCTCGCTTCCCCCCGTGGGCTCGCCGCCGACTCCTGGCGAGCATGGCGGGAAGGAGCTATGATTTGGTGATGAGGTCGGCGGTTGTGTCTAACGGGAACCTCCTCAGTCCTGCCTAGTCGTGATGACGGCGAAGCAAGATTGTGTTTTCTCACCACTCAGTGAGAGCAAGAAAATCTGAAGGTGCCCTTGAAATCGAAACAGCAGCGGACAATCACAAGACAGGAACTGGCAAACTGAACAAAGGGACAAGCATATACACACACACCCACTTAAGCTCACGAGTCACGCCGTATTTCTACAGTTGCCCTGCGAACGCGCTCGAACGCCCAATCCCGTCGTCGTGGCCGCCCTCGCATGACGGCGGGGTGCCGCCTAAACTTTCCGCCGTCGGGGACACCTGCCCCTGGGCGGCTGGAAAGTTTATTTTATACCGCTCTTCGCCCGTTAAGAACGAGGCGCAAGAGGTTTTTTCCGCGGGAGCAGGGGGAAGCATGCTCAGCTGTCAAAGCGCCATGGGCTTGCGTGCTTCTGCCAGGGCAGTCTCCATCACATCAAGTCGTGAACAAACAAACATTGAGGACACATTCGCTTTGCCGTTCTTCGTCTCCTCGTATCCCTCAACCTGCGCCTTGCCCTCCTAGTCCTCCTTGTCCTGCCTACCCCTCTCCACTCACTCCTCCTCCCACCTCATTCTCATCCTCTTTACCCTCCTCCTCCACAATTACAGAAGGTGAATACTGCTCCCCTCTCTCTCTTGAGTTTATGCGGAAGATGGCCGGCACCAATCCGCGTACCTGTCTCTTGCACACAGGATTGCCGGGAGTTTGTTTGTTTCACATGCGTTTTTGACAATCCGATTCTTTTCGGTCCTTCCAAATGTTGCTCTCGCTGCAGCGCTGGCCCCGGGCTTCCGCTCGTTCCGAATCGTGCTCCTGCTGCAGCGCTGACCTCATTTCCGCGCTTCCGCTCGTTCCGAATCGTGCTCCCGCTGCAGCGCTGGCCTCATTTCCAATGGCATGCCATAGCATGCAATGCTATGATACGCAATGCTTGACTACACAGTGTCACGCCATGCTACGTCATGCTACGCGTTGATCTTCAACGCCATGCTATGCCATGTAATGCTATGCCATGCTACGACGTCCGACTGCGCGAATAGAGAGATCCACGCCACGATAAAAGGATGGTAGCGGGGGGTAGGACGTCGGATAAGACGCTCGCGCACCTAGCTTGTCCTCCTCCTCCTCCTCCTCCTCCTCCTCCTCCTACTCCCCGTTCCTTCGTCCTCGCTCCTCCTCCCTCTCCCCCTCCCCCCTCCCCCCTCCCCCTCCCCTCCCTTCCTCCCTCCCTTCCCCTCTCCTCCGCCCCGCTCCCCCTCCTCCCTCCCCCCCTCCACTCCTCTGCGGCCCCTTGCCCGCGCGTGCCTCTTCCCCCTTGCCATTCCAGGGGGGCGCCCGCGCGACCGCGCGGGGGGTCGCTCGGAGGGAGAGCCGGCCTCGCCGCCCGCGCCGACCCCGAACTCCTCCTGCTGCCTCGTGGAGAACGTCACCTCCGAGGAGGGGGAGGAGGAGGAGGAGGGGGAGGAGGGGGAGGAGGGGGAGGGGGAGGAGGAGGAGGAGGAGGAGGGGGAGGAGGAGGAGGAGGAGGAGGAGGAGGAGGAGGAGGAGGAGGAGGAGGAGGAGGAGGAGGAGGAGGAGGCACATCGCGCATCGCGCGCCACCTCCTGGAGAAGCGCAAGGATCCTTTGGCCCCGGCCGACAGGGCCAGGCCTTGCGGTGCAGGTCTGGGCTGCGCTAGGCACGTTGTACGCGTGCCCACAACCTGATACCCATAGCAATCGTGCGCACCTGGTACAAAGATGTGGTCGATGAGACGCACTGTGTAGTCTTTACCACCCGACCAACAATGCCGAAGCACATCGGTGAGAAGGAGGAGGAAGAGGAGGAGGAGGCTGGGTTTCCAACACACGCGCACTACAACTGAGTCACGTGCCATGCATATGCGGGGACAAAATGTCCGTGAACATCGCGACTGGGCATGCGCGTATGATCTGGGACTTGAAATGGACTGAGACGGGACTTGCCGAAGGGGTGGGACTTCGTCCCGTCCTATGTTTTAACCATCGGGATCTCACAACTAGCAGTTAAGGGCCAGAGAGTACCCCCCAGTCTCGAATCGCGAGCCAGGAGTCTAGATGGGGAACGGGGGGGAGGGCAAATCGCTCGGCCATCATCTGGATCATAAACTTGACCAAGATCATCGTCGAGATGTCTTGATCCAATTGAACAATAGCATGGCAATATTCTGGGCCGTCAGCTCGATCATCCTCACACGCACTATCGACATGTTGACCGTCATAATTATCATCCAGATAACCATCCCCAAGACTGGCGCCGTTTTCAACATCATCCTGGTCGGCATGCCCGTGACAGCCAAAAACGTCTACTCCGTCATGTACAACCAGAATCTTAGAATGCAGCCGATTTGGGCACTTTGTTCAAACTGCGGTGGCGGGATGGTTGCTATGCCAACCTGGGCCTATCGGACTACGTCTTGACCACGGCTCCCCTGGGAGGAGGAGAGGGATGAGGAACAAAGCGGAGGAAACAGATAATGGAGACGGTGGAGGGGAAAACGGGACAATCACCTTCAAAGATGACAACGATGAAGATAATGAGAGAGGAAGGCAAGGGGACGAGATGAACTCAGCTCTGGCTAGGCGTCCTCAAATCTAATGCAGTACGCCAGGGCGGGCGACTCTTAAACAGCGGCACGCCTAATTACCACCTCGCGAGCAGGAGAACACACGCAACGCCAAACTCATCCAGGAGCAGACGACTTGTTAGTTCACGACAAGGACACACACACACGCAAACGTACACGTACACGTACACGCACACGCACACGCACACGCACAAGGAAACGCACACGCACACGCACACGCACACGCACACACACACACCCGCACACACACACCCACACACCCACACGCACACACACACGAACACACGCACACACAAACACACACACACACACGCACCACACACCACACACCAGACACCACACACCACACACCACGCACAACACACCACACACCACACGCCACACCACAAACACCACACACACCACACTCCACACACCACACACCACACGCCGCACAGCACACACACACACACACACGCACACACGCACGCACGCGCACGCGCACGCACGCGCACGCGCATGCGCACGCGCACACGCACGCGCACACGCACACGCACACGCACACGCACACGCACACGCACACGCACACGCACACGCACACGCACACGCACGCGCACGCGCACACGCACACACACACACGCACACACACACACACACACACACACACACGCGCAAATACACCCATGCATTCACACATACACACACCACGAAGCTGCAAATACGTATGCCCCAAGGCTATCCCGAACATCATGATTCGTGCCCTCTTATGCTACACGCACCCGCTGCAACCGGCTACGACGATCAGATGCACAATAATTCCAAATCCATGGGGTGCAAGACGAAAGACTGGCATACCAATGCGGAAACAACGGCCGCGATCACCTGTAGATACCAGCCAGAGTCCTTCCGGAAGCTGGACGGCATGACCTGGCTTGCTATCCAACTGTGGCCTCATTTGGCCGAACCGTCGTCCTTCCAGATCTTGCATCTCTACCGGCACCGTGCGTCGAAGGAAGAACAATAAGCATGTTGCAGAAAGGCCTCCCCGATGGCACCACTCCAACAAACCATTGCACCGATGCGGGCAACGCGTAGCACATGGTTCAAATCATGCTGCTGGGCCAGGAACGCCAAGCACAGCAGGAACATGTATATGTACCCATCGGTCGGAAGAAGTAGGTAGAAGCATGAAGTAGGAAGGCGTTGGACACATATTGGGTTTCCATCCGCCCCCTAAGGAGGACGGAAAAGGTGAAGCCATTCGATCATTGAAGTAGGAAGACGCTTAAAGTAGATTGGAATCTGAGAATCCAGAACACCCACTTTCAACGACCGATGGGTAACAGTGAGCGTGCAGAAGTAAGGCTACGGGGTAGACGCACGGGGCTGGCGAGTGCAGTACAGCGACGTGCAACAGTTGATAGGAATTTCTGCCTGCCAGGGAGAACCCAAGCCATATGCGACCTGAAGTGTCAGTGCCGCATTTTTCTCCCTGCCCTTCACCCCCTCCTCCTTCCTCCCTCCTTGCGCTCCCTCCGTCTTCTTTGTGCCCCCTCCTTTCTTCTCTCTGCCCTCCCAAGGGGGACGTTGTTCGTGATCCACCAGGGGGTCTGCTCCAGGTGCGGGTCCGGCCCTAGCACGCCAGACACGCGCAGCGCCCGCGTGGCGGCGTCGAAGCGCGGGTGGTCGACGACCCTCAGGTGGGAGGCGGCATGGGAGAGGCAAGAAGGGAGGGAGAGAGGAAGTAACAGAAGACGGGAGGAGGGGAGAGAGTGCGAGAGAGGATAGGGGAAGAGGAATATGATGAGGGAAGGAAATGTATGGATGAAAATGATGATGATGACGATGACGATGATAATGATGATGCTGATACTGATGATGATGATGATGATGATGATGATGATGATGATTATGATGATTATGATGATGATGATGATGATGATGAATGTTATGGTGATGGTGATGGTGATGGTGATGATGATGCTGATGATGATGATGATGATGAGGATGAGGATGAGGAGCAGGAGGAGGAGGAGGAGGCGATGGAGGGGAGAGGGGGAGAAGGAGGATGTTAATAACGAGGAGGGGTGAACGAGGATGCTAATAACGATGTTAATCTGTGGAGGGCGAGGGGGAAGGAGAGGAGGGGGGAGGCAGAGAGAGAGGAAACGGGAGGGGGGGGGGGAAGGGATCAGGAGGGCAGGGGGGTGGAGAAGGACGATGAGGACAAGGAGAGCGAGGAGGAGGAAGAGGAGGATATACTTAACCTCGCGCCCAGAATCCCTACACGCATCCAATACACCCACCCGCCCCACATCCCCTTTTTCTGTACATTTACCCTCCTTGCTTGCCGCTCAAGGGAGGCGCCCCCTTCCAATACAATCACGCCGTGAGCCCGCACTGGAGACAAGAGCCTCCGTTGGAAAGGGAATCGCCCTCCGTCCATCTACAAGAAGAGCGCACACGTATAATCACACACACACACCAGAGAAACGCACAATGATAGCCCCGTTTTGAAAGCCGTGCACCTGTAGAACATCTATTATGTTGACACTGCCTTCGAAGAACTCGCGACCCCACATCCCGATAGTACGCGTGACTGCTGCGCTTCCGGTCGCACGTGCCAAGTGGTGTTAAGGGAACGCCACGTTTTGAAAATGAGGTCCCTGACGGCAACGCGACTAGTGCCACCTGCTGAGGCGAGGGCACCATGTTTAGATGGAAAAGAACCATGCGCATGCACCGATTTTGGCCAGGTCCATCCTGAGCCCAAGATCGGTGCATAAGCCCTCCTGCCTTGGCCAGGCAAACATATGCACCGATCCTGGGGCCAAGGATGGGCCTGGCCAGGACCCGTGCGTGTGCATAGTTCTCTTCGCCGATTCTTGAAGCAGGAAGGCGCGTGAAATAGATTGGGCTCTGGGGGTCCAAGAATACCTACTTTCAACGACCGGCGCGTATACAGTCGGGGCGTTGACCTAAAGAACCCCAAATAAGGAACGAGGCCCCTTTCTCCCATGAGTTGAACTTCGATCTCCCGTGGACCCCCCGAGGCAAACCCAAAGGCAAACTGCAAAACAGGCAAGGCACGCCGAGCCCCTCCCCAACGAAAAGGGTTCCTTCTTGAGCGCCCCGACTGTATGCGTGAAGTAGATTGGGATCTGGGAATGCCAAAATACCTACTGTCAACGACCGGCGCGGAGGAGGAGGAGGAGGAGGAGGAGGATAGACTTGCAACAAGACCGCTCTCGAGCGGCTCGCGCGGCCCGGAGCCGGGAGGTCCGCGCACGCTGAGAGAAGAAAGGGCCGGGCCCTCTGGCCGCGCAGCTGCTGCAAACTGCAAAGAGATGTGGGGCGGCGGTGCGCGGCGTGGCCTCGAGAGCCGCATCTTGGAACCATCCCATTTTGAACCATACAGTCGGGGCGTTGACCTAAGGAACCCTAAATAAGGAACGAGGCCCCTTCTTACCATAAGTTGAACTTCGATTTCCCATCGGAAACATAAGGAAAACCTGAGGCAAGCTGTGAAACAATTAAGGAACACGGAGCCCCTCCCCAACGAAAAGGGTTCCTTCTTCAGGGACCCGACTGTACCTTATTGAAGGGGCCCCAGGACACCCAAATGAATACACACAAAGAGAAGGATTCCCTCAATTTTCGGGGTTTCTGTCTTCCCCCCCACTGCCCCTATTCTCCCACATTTTCTCCTGGGAGTGGACGATTCATTGTGTCTGTGTTTTTTCCCCTCCTGAACAATACCTTACTGAAGGGGCCCCAGGACACACACACACATAAATACACACACAAAGGAAAGGATTCCCCCTATTCTCTGGGTTTCTGTCTTCCCCCCCACTGCCCATCTTCTCCCACATTTTCCTGGGAGTGGACGATTCATTGTGTCGGTGTGTTTTTTCCCTCCTGAACAATACCTTACCTCCTCTCGTATAACGGTCCTCTCGTATAACGGTTGTGAAACTATCGGAGAAATGTGCGCGGCGCTCAGGCAAGAACCACATTATGACAACGACCCACCCTGCATTCCGGTTACGTAGCTCGCGTAGCTGGCGCAGCTGGCGCGAACCCGCGTAGCTGGCGCGAATGGTTACGCACATTATGACAACGACCCACCCTCGTGTAGCTGGCGCGAACCGGTTACACGAACGTGCGCTGCGCTGGCGCGAGCCGTGCGACCGTGCGGGGAGGGCCCACGCCACAATGCCGTACAGCGTGGGGATGTCTCGAGCGCAACGCCCAGCCCGCCCTACCGACACCTCTGGCCTGGTCGTACGACGAGGGGGGACTGTTGTGAGGGGGGAGGGGGAAGACGGAGACGGACGATGATGAGGGGCATGTGAGGGATAGGGGGCGCGAGGGAGGGATGCATGGAGTTACCGGGAACGCATGATGACTGGGGTGGGGTGAGGGGGAAGAGGTGGACAACACCAGGGTTCAGGGAGAAAGGCATTGCTAGAGGGAGAGGATCAAGAGGAGACAGGAGGTGCTGATGTTGATGCTGCTGCTGATGATGGTGATGAGGCAGCAGATGATAATAGTGATGCTGAAGAGAAGGGCGCATGAGCAGAAAGAAAACACAATGGAGGGGAGGGGGGACGCGGAGGGAATGGATAGGAGGATGAGGATGAGGAAACTGAGGATGACGATGAAGGAGGTGGCCTGAGGAAGAGACAGAGGAGCAGGAGGAAGACGGAACAGAGGAGGGAGAGGCGGGATGATGGGAGGGACGGAGAAAGGGGGGGGGGAGGAGGAGGGAAGGTGTGGGTGTGGTTGGGGAGGAACGCGAGGATAATGCGCCGAAGGCAGGAGGGATGAGGATGACGAGCAGAAGCAGGATGATGAGAGAGAACGGATGACATATGGGCAAGGATAACCAGCAGCAGGGAAGAGGAAGGGGATCAGGCGCAGTGGTGAAGAGGAGGAGGACGAACTGGAACGACAAAGGGAACTGTGGATCAGCATGCGCAAACTTTGAGAGGGACTCAATAAGAGGATGGCTGCTGCATTCGTACGCGGGGCACATGGTCCCACATGACTGCCATGCGAGCAAACAAAAAAACACCTAACACTTTTTCGTCAGCGGCGAGGCGGCGAAATCCGCTCCAGCGAGAAACTAGATAAGGGCACTTACTAGCAAATTGGCCGGCGGGCAGAGAGAGGGGGTGCACGGCCGAGAGGAAAAAGGGACGCTCAGACGTCGAAAAGTCCGACGATGAGCAGAAAAAAACACCAAACACACTGTCGCGCGAAAAGCTTGCCCACGGTTTTGTTCTTTGTGAGTGTCAACCGTGAAGAAACACTTCCACTGGCTCTGTCGGGAAGGAACAGGCAGGATTCCAATCAATGCGAAATTCGGGGAACTGGCCTTCTCCAACACTCCGCCCATGCTGCCACCACTTTCCCCGAATGCGTTGCACCACAGTTGTCTGACATGCCCGAGGCAAACACCCAGCCTTCCTCTTGGTTCGGATCTACCTCCCACATCCGTGGCCACACGGCGTGTCGATAGGAAGACGTGCTGAGGCGGCGGAGCCGGGACGGACGTGGTGATACCGAGAAGGGTGGGGATGCCTGGGGACGACAGGGAAAAAGGACGAGAAGAGCGCGGGCGACGACAATGACGACGAGCAGGGGCGCGACCGTCGATAACTGACGACAGCGAGGGGGAGCGAGCTCGCGCCCTACCTGGACGCTCCCCGAAGTCGCCCTTTCCCGCCTGCCAAGCAGGTCACGCGGCGAACGCGATGTCTAGGATGAGGACATTGTTTCTTGTGGAGGCCTCCTAGGTGGGGTTCGAGTAGATGGGGTTGGAGCAGCGCCGCATTGCCAATGCATCGCCGTTGCGTCCATCTGCGATGATGCATCGGCGACGTCGGCGTGGAGAACATCGGGCTGCACATCGAGCCGCA